AAGAGGTGCACATTTCGAACAAAATCTTCATTAAAAAGTTTGTAAATAAAATAATTAAAATAATAAATTAAATTATATTTTTTTCTTTTTCCGTGATTTCCTGCGAAACAAAGCAAAAACGAGCATATGTCTATAGGACTTTTTTTCGTAGTTTTTAACTCCTCTACACGTTCCCGAAGTTTTGACATTTAATTTGGAAACACCCTGTATATAATACGTGCCGATCGACGCTGCCGGCGCCGCCGCCACCGATGGACAAGAACAACCAGCGCCCGCCGCCAATATTTATAACATCGGCGCACAGCTCTACTTACACAACAGGTAAAATTTACCATAAAGTGGAACAATCGGCCCTAATTTAAGTCATATAACGCAAGAAACTCACAATTTATAAGTCCCGGAATAGTATCCCCTTAAATTTCTTTACATTCTACTAGGGAGGGGGAGGGAAGGGAGGTAAACATGGTTTTTAATCTTCTAAATCCATCCAATTGTAAGATATCCATTAGCTTTATACATTAGACACTTGTGTATCTGCTAGATATTTTTCTGAATATATGAGATCATCTTAAAATATTGTATGGTTATTGCAATATTCCAAAATATCTGTACTACATCTATTGAATAAATTAAGTGTACTTTGTGGATAGTTGTCTCTATTTTGTCCTTCCCCAATCTATCACCATTTTCAATAGTTGTTGGATTGGCTACTGTAAACAATCATTACTCGTATAATACAACATTTCTGATATATCATTTATATTATTCAGCTGCTTATCAGTTATCTCTCCACTGAAATTAAAGTAACAGTTATTAACCAAATGATATAATTACATGTAATGACATAATCAATAATGATGTAATTATTAATTACATACAATTGAGGAATACAAACAGTTGCAATGGGGATGTTTTAACATTTCATCCAAATAAATCGGATTTTTCCATAAAAAAGGACAATATTTCTTTTCTGCCAATGTCAAATAAATATATGGTTATTATTCTAAAATCCAGAACCTCCCTCTCCCCCCTCTTCCTCCCCCTCCCCCCTCTCTCTCTCTCTTTCTTTCTCTCAAGAAAACACCTGACATCAACAGAAAATAAAAGCTTTTAACACCTGTAATCATTATAGAATTCATCATCGTAAATAAGACTGAATACTATAAGTGAAATAACTTACATGAATCTTTTGATAATACAATTTCAATAGTACAAATATCTAATTATAAATTTCATTGTTTCTTTCAAATAACAAGGAAGCAATCATATCTGCAACTTCTGCTTGAAGTTAAACTTTGTAGTAATGATTCAGCATTTTAGATAAAGTCCCTATATTATTTCTAATTTGTGTATCAGAAATATAATTACTTATAAAAATACAGTGTAATTAATTATAATTATTTCCTAGCATTTCTGCCGTTTGACGCCATTACAATTGTAACAACAAAAATTTCACGAAGATATAAAATTGTAGAAATGTTTCAGACTTTAGATTTTTGCGATATCTCGAACCGCACGATTCACTTGATTTTATGAGCCTTCTCGACCATGGAAAGATGAAAAATGTCAAAACTAAATTCTTTCACGTAAATTATCAAAATTCGTAAGCATCGTAATGATCGAAAAAAATGATTCACATCGCGATATGTAAATAATGCCTGACGAAAGATTCATCATTGCCGTCAAGGCACACCATTCAGCCAGTCTATCGCTTGAAAATTATAAGAAATAGATTCAAAAATATGTATTTGATGGAAATTCTTTACAATTTGTTGAGTAATATCCAGAAATATTTTTCCAATGATCTAATACTCGGTTCCTCAAAGGAATGAATTCCTTCTCTGGTGAAAATAAAGATCGAAGGGTAAGTTTAGTGTAAGAGGAAAGTGACAGTTAAACAAAACTTACAGGAAGCGTAAATTGTAATAACATAAAAGAAACGTTTATCTCTTAAAACACTTCTTTCCGCTGCTCCAAACTTTAAGCTTTCAAGAAGTTCCTTTATTTACGCTTCTGTCACTCTCCCCTTACATTTGATTTATATGCTTCGGTTTTTATTTTCATCAAGATTTTGCTTAATTTGTATTTTACAGAGACGTGCGATTTTGGCGCGTGACAATCTCATTAATTGGTACGCAATTAGATATGGGCGCATTCTTTGAAAATTCGATGTTTCTTTTTGTGGATGACTCAGAACCCATCTTGCCAATCTTCCGATCCACCAAGTGCGCCAATACAAGCAGAGTTGTGGAATTGGCAGATGTCGGCTGCGATACGGAAACTACGTTTCCCAAACATTTTCCACATGGTGCGTTTGATAGACGTCGCGGAGGAGCTGAAAGCCTCGGATCGACTCGCAGAATCACTAAATGGCTCAATGACAGACCAAATAAATTTACTCGAAGAACTAGTGACATAAATAATGATGACGTAAGCAAATGCAATAGTGAACTGACGCTTCAGATCCTGGAAATTCCATTAACACGCTAATAATTTATTAGAAAAGTTAATAAAAGCATATCCAAATACAATTTTTTATTGTTTCAGCCTAATATTATAATAAAAATGTATACAGAAGAAAAACAATAATATATTTTTAGGAATAAAGTTTACTTTAAAATATATACATATCTTCTTGTTGATCGTAGGATAGAAATGGGAATTACGTTCGAGGGAAAATGCTGCAAGACATTTGGAATTACGATGACGAGCCTGATACGGATTTCAACAATTCGTATACGGAGAATCCTTATGATGATTTTGAACTATCAAAAAACGATTTTGCAGTTGAAGAAAATAATCATACCCAATTTGTAAATCCCCAAAATGCAATCGCGCATTCTTATAAAGAACGTATCTCGCGATATGATTACTTGAGAGATCTCGAGTCTCCATTTATGCAAAGTATTCACATACCTCTAAGAAAGAATGTTTCTCCGCGATGGCTTGTCGAGAGCGACAAAAAGAATCTCTGCAAAATTCACGACACCGATATTCAATCTGGCGAACACAAAAAACGAACAAAAATCCTTTCGAGATCCAATAGAAGCTTCAATCGCAAGGCGGGTATGTTTTCTAAAAATCGATAAATAGTAAACTAATTGCAGATATTTGCAGATTCGACCATTATTTTCAATTACAATGCAAATATTGTAAAAAATTGTTTATAACAAATGCTTTTTATAACCTTGCATAATTTTAAGTTACGTAAATCTTATTTCTCGGATTTTCAAAATAAAAAAAGTTGTTCAATTATGTTAATTTAAGCAAAGATATATTAATTTAAAATGTACTAGACAGTATCAGTTAAAGAATTTTGAAGCAAATACCAATTAAGAATTATAGATGGTCTCTAATACTAATAAAAAATTTCTGTTTATTTCTTGTAAATTCATTTGCTCCTTGCAGAACTTGAGCAAGCTCGTGATATAGTGATGTATCGCAAACAAGATAATCTTCCCAATGCCGTTGATCCTGTTGCGCCTTCAAAACAAATGTTTTGGGATTTCATTTCATTCGAAAACGATTCGGAATGTGAAAAAACAACTTTTTACAATCCAACGAAGACAAAAAATCACAGCGAGTTGCAGAAAATGGCGCCGCTCAGGAGAAGATCGTACATCTTTAATTCACAACCGAAACACATAGATGTTGATTCGGAAGGAGAAGAATTCAATGAAACGATTAAAAAACACAGCCGAGAGAACTTGTTACCCAAGATTCCAATAAATAGCGAGAGGTATCGAACTTCGAAAGGTGACGCGATGAAAGAGAAACCCAAGATTTTGCAATTAAATACATCAAACGCGAATTCTTCACGAGGTCAATCAACGAGGACATCCGTTGATGAACAAATTTCGAACATGTATTTTACAGCAAAAGGTAAGAATTGTAAAAAAATTTATTAAAAATACATATTTTTTTCTCCTTTATTCTCCCCTTTTCAATAATCTTCTTTACCGACGGCGTTTATAAGTAGTTCGCACAGCACCGGCAGATATCTCTACAATCATATAATTTGTCGACTTCATTTGATATTTCCTAAGTGCTAAGAGTGAACGAAATCGCATAGATATCATACGCATTTTCTTCAGTAAATATTTTTAAAATATTGCAATATTTTTAGATTAATTAATTCTTTCATAATTGAGATATCTACTCTCTAAATCTCGTAGTGTAAAATCCCACTCGAAGAGACTGAAAATTGAACCAGTCTTAAAAATAAGAATAAAAATATTATCACTCTTGTTCAAGAGTGGTAGTATTTTCACTCTTTTTTTTTTAGAGTGAGATTTATTCTTTTGGAACGAAATTCAGTCCAAGCAAAGGAGTGAAATCTTAATCTCTTTTTTGGAGTAAGGTTTCATCTGCCCTGGTTTACACTCCAAAAAAAGGATGGAGATTTCACTCTTTTGGAGTGAATCTCATTTCAAAAGAATAAATCTTACTCTAAAAAGAGTGAATATCAGTCACTCTTGAATAAGAGTAGTAGTATTTTCACTCTTTTTTCAAGATCTCAATTTTCAGTTTCTTCAAGTGAGATTTTACTCTACAAAATTAGAGAGTAACATAAAAATTATGTATATAGAAGAAAATATATTACATTTCTATATCATTGATTATTAAAATAATTACTAAAATATAAATAAAACAATTATTAACATTTCAATTAATTGTCATGTGTATCCAATTGAATGTATACCTAATATATTCAAGACGCGGCGTGTATCAATTGGAAACTATGTTTCCGTTATTCACTGCCAGTACTAAAGTAATATAATTCAAGTATAATATACCCGTTAGACATGATCAAATTATTGGACAAAATGACAAAAATTTTAAATATGAAGTTCTTAATAATATTTACGACTCTAAATAAATTTGTCTCATTAAATTTTTACATATAAAAAATTCATTTAGAGTTGTACATATTAAAAGATTAATATTTTAAATTTGTCATTTCGTCTAATAATTAGGTCATGTTGACTATCCACTAACTCAGTAGTCGCAAGGATTTGCACATTTCGGGCCGATTCCGGCGCGCAACCCCCACCACCGCCGGGCGGTCACGTGACTCTCTGACTTAGGGGCGCTTCTATACCAGAAATATACTGGGAGAGCGCCTTCCGCCAAATTATTATTGAAATGTTTTTTAATTAAATAATATATATAATTATATTATTTATTTAATAATTTATATAGTTATATTATTTATTTAAT